ATCAAGCCAATAAATGAGACTATAAGAATGCTGGCTAATTATGACCACTAACTGTTTGTTCGCATTAATTGTATGCCATGCCAAATAGCATCTAAAGTGAAATACCACAGTCTGTATATAGTGAAGGCCGAGAGGATTCAGAAGGAAATATACAGATGCAGATGAAAGAGTCTGGCAAAAGTAATTTACCTATGATCCAAATTTGCAAAAAGCTTAAAGTATCAGCCTCACTGGGTCACGTTTTTCAACTCTCAGATGCTTGGGAACGATACGTTCAATTGGCCTAACAATCGAAGTTGAGATACCAAAGTCATTTAAATCGCGCTTGTCAACTTTTAAAGATAAATTGCAGAAAAGCAACAACGACTTGTTCTTTTTTTTCCAGCCCTTAAACAAGGACATCACAGGAAGGCAGACTCTCCTTATACCCCGGAAGTTTTCGGCCAAGGTGACTGCGGATGTTGCTTTAGGAAAAATCGATCAAGATGTCTCGATCCCAAGACAAGTACTCAATGATGATTTTTCAATTCTTGTCCATGCTGCGGTTCTTCTTAGAGGGGAGCTGCAAGATTCGCGAGGTCACTCAGGGCTTCATGTTTCCCAAGAAGAGGCTGCCGCAGTCATACCGAAAAATCTTCATTTGTTCCTGAGCGTACTGATAAGTGGAGACGAAGTTCTCGACGACGTTGTCGATGACTAAGACGATGACTCAAGCAATGATGAAGAGAACTACGAGATCTTAGTATTATTGCCTTCAGCTAACGACACTAGAATGATTTTTTTTATTATCTTTATTACAATCCTGCAATAAACAATGTTTGAACTCTGGAATGTTCGTTTTCTTTAGTTCCTTCGGCGGCCATCTTGGAGCCCATGCACTCCAAACTTAAGGTAAGTAAATTTCAAGCATTGCAATGTACCTAGCATCTGAGAAAACCCCTAAGCTAGCAGATGTTTGAATCATTATTACAAGACAACGGAAAAGAAAATATAGGGCAACAGAGTTTTGACCACCATCTTAGCCGCCATCTTGGATATCGGACTTCCAGTCCAAATTTGGCCACGGGAAGATTCGTATTCAGCGGGGTCGAAATACTTTAAAAACTACTACTTTCTGGTTTTTGTCCTTATCCAAGGTTTTTTTCTTTTGTAGAAGCATTATCAACTCCATGATTCTGAGTCTCGGATATGTGTCGACATTTTTTTAAAAAAAATTGCAAGTATGACAAACACATATTGGTTAAAACTTTTTTGGTGAAGTGAAATCTTCTGGTGCTTCAAGGTCCATTAAGGTTTTGTTCTTCGTGCAGTTTCCATCGTTTCGTCGCTTTTATCAAGTTTCAGTATCTGTCCAGGTAGTTGATATTCGACTTTTTTCAAAGAGAGGTTTTCAATGGTGACAGTAGATCATCCTTCCTTTCTAACAATATCGAAATGGGTAGCAAAGTTATTCGATATTCCTAATAATACAGTGGATTAGCTAACCTATTGTGCACTTTTTGATAAAGACATCAAATTTGGCACAAAGGTAGCCGATGTGATATGAAGAAATTTGGATGTGGAGCCATCGGCCAACTGCCCCCTGGCGGCCGTGGCGGCGATTTTCTAAAATGGCCGTCAGTGGACACCCCGAATGACAACGAAAGTTAGATAAAGCTTGCTGCTGAAATTTTTATGGAATGTTTATTGATTGTTTTGAATGCAAACATGCCAGATAAGTTATACAGGGTAGGACACGAAAAACTTCCCACCTAGGTTTTCTGAAGTGTTAGGTGATTAATCAAAAATTGCTCGGACGCGTCAATTTTTGTTTTTTGGGGACACATTTTATTGATATTTCCACCCTCTACCCGCAAAATTTCACATGGAAAGGGGGTTAGAGTGATACAATGTACTACCTATATCCCGAGGGTTGAATCACTCATAGAAATCACTGTACACATTGCTAGAAATACTTTAGGAAAACCTAGGAATACTTTGTAATACTCTAGAAATACCTAGGAATACTTGGAAATCCTTGGGGATACTCTGGAAGTATATGGAAAATCTCTGGAAGTACATGGGAATAATTTGGAAATACATGGAAGTATTTGTGAATTAAGTTTGTGTGGCTTTCGCGGCCCAGGTTTATTGAGAAGTTTTCATTCGGGCTTAATGGCCGTCGTAAGTATTTTTTCCAACTTACGACGGCCACCAAGCCCGAATGAAAATACTTTACTTGTAAATTTCTATAACTTCCTACCCTACTTTTAACGTATTTTTGGGCATTTTCATTACGTGCTTGTTCATTCTGCTTCAGTGTGCACTTTGTTTTGGTTGAGTGTTCCAATTTTTTTTGGTCAACTGTACCAGTTACCCTAATTTTGAGGCCACTGAAACAGTGACCTCTATTTTCTTATTCATTCATATAGCAATAATTCTGAGGCAACTGGAACATATTGTAACGTATATGTAAAGATCCTACCAAATTTTATTTTTTTCGCTTAAACATACTCAATGTAATATTGTTCACTGTAATCACTTTATTGATTAAAATCCAAACTTCTGTCACTTGTTGTTATGATACACTTTGTAAAAGTAACAAATTTCAACGTTTTTCTCAGAAACAAAGCTGTTTTCTAGCATTCACTTTTTTGAAACTGGTTCAAAATAGATTCGAAACAGTATATTCTCGCGATGAACCCATGACGTCACATCAAAATTGGCTCAAACCGTTTCGAAATACAATCCATTCTTCGTTTTAAAACCATTTTCTCGCGCCGAGAAGTTATGACGTCATTGTGAAACTGTTTTAAACCAGTTTTGGAAAATGTTTCAAAACTTTGAGACGCGAGAAATCACCTCTAATCCGGCGTCGGTCGTACTTTCTACTACATTCAGGATATAAATGAGACACACTTGTAACGAATTTTTATGCGTGGGAAATTCAAATTTCAATAACAAGCCAAAAATTGGCATATGGCCTAGTTACATCGCTGTTCCAGAGTTAACCAAGTTGACCTTATTTGGAAATGCCTGGGAAATACAAAGGGGAATACTTAGAAATACTGGGGAATACGAGGGGGAATACTTGGAAATACTGTCCAAATTTGAGAAGTATTCCGAGAAACTGAAAATCACTGTATGTTTTTTTGTGATTGGTTGATTCCTCGATATTCCCTAACTTTGACGAGCCGCCATTTCGGCAGGGACAATTTACCCTGCCGCAACTTAAAATTTCAAGGATATAATCTTAATAAAACTTTCCATCAAATGACGTATCACTCGACTCCCCTTTCTATTTGAAATTTTGGGCTTACTTGTCACCCCCGCTTAGGGGTTGACAGGTAGGGAGGTGAAAATACCAATAAAATGGTCGAGCGATTTTTGATTATTCACCTAACATCTGAGGAAACCTGGGTGGGAAGTTTTTCGTGCCCTGCCCTGTAAACACAAGGCGTCCAACGACGTTTTACCCAGGTGATAACTTTGGAACGCGCCATCCAATATAATATAATTGAAATTTTGAGGATCTGGGTAACTCTTTGTGCCGCTACTACATGCGTCATCCAATTTCACTTTCGCTTCAATTTTCGTCAAGTGACGGCAACTTTAGAATTTTAAATGTAACTGATGGTAACATATCATTTGTCGTTAGAAAATTGAATTACAAAATCGGCAATGCCATATTTGCTAAGGCTTTCTTGACGAAAATGTTAAAAAATTACAAAGTAGAATATTCGATGACGCGTTTCGAAATTATCACCTGGGTAAAACTTCGAGGGACACCCTGTATATAGGTATAAGGTGGAGCACGAAAAACGTCCCACCCAGGTTTTCTCAGGTGTTAGGTGATTGATCAAAAATTACTTGACCATTTTATTGGTATTTTCTAATGAACTATAAACTACACGTATCTGGAATTGCACCGTCCGTTGTCGGATATGGCATTTGCATGGCATTTCTCATCTCGCTTAGTGTGTCCAAAAAAGCTACATAGTGGGGGATTCCTTTCTCTCTCCAGTTCATTGCTGTTAGGTTTGGCATATTCCTAACCTCGAATAAAATATCATTTCCATGATTCGCCAATAAGATAAATAGAGATGGGTGTACCCCACATTCTCCATCTCAATCTGCCGCAAATTTATAGATCGGCGGGCCATTCCAGGTACGTGTAGTTTATAGTTCATTGGTATTTTCACACCCTACCTGTCATCATCTAAGCGGGGTAACAGGTACCACCAAAATTTCGAACAGAAAGTGGGGTTGGGCCGGGGCGATACGCAATTTGATAGAAATTTATATGGAGATTTTTATCCTCGAAATTTTATTACCCTGCCAAAATTGCTGCTTGTCAAATTTAGGAAATAGTACATTGTATCACTCGAACCCCCTTTCCATTTGAAATTTTGCGGTTGTCAGGTAGATGATGAAAAAACCAATAAAATGTGTCCCCCAAAAAACAAAAAATAACTTGTCCGAGCGATTTTTGATTAATCACTTAAAACCTGAGACAAGACCTGAGAAAAACCTAGGTTGGAAGTTTTTCGTGCCCAACTCTGTATAACTGCAAGCTTTATCTTACTTCCGTTGTGTTTCGAGATGTCCGTCCCACGGCCGCCGAGGGGTAGTTGGCTGATGGCTTCACATCCAGATTTGTTCATAATACATCGGTCTACCTCTATGCCAGATTTGGTGCCTTTATCAAAAAGTGTAAAATATGTTGAAATATCCCAGCTAAGCTGCCGCACTAGAATGCCATAGTTTGAATACATTTGCAATTTGTTTAATTAATGACCTAACACTAAAAATAGAAAATTAATTTTTCGTTCATTAATGAAAATTCACAAATAATTATCTTCCCACGACCGTGCAATGCACTACTTGTAATAATCTTCTGGAATCGTTCCAAATATGCCGTGCGTTTTATTATTACGAATCGCGTATATCGAGTAGGTATTACGATTCAGGTTGAATATTTTTGTCCCAAATTACATTTGAAATAGAAATATTTGTTTCAGAGTTAACAACCATGAATACCAAAACTTTATCACTATCGTTGGCTCTATTGGTCGGATCACTGTCGTACTGCTATGCCTGCAGTTGCATGAGTACCCATCCGCAAAATTATTATTGTTTTGCTGATTTTGGTAAGTATTTTTTTCTACTTTATTCCAATATTATAAAGTAAAAACATGTTAACGCAGAAGCTTTATAGTGTCAATTGTACAACTGACTAAACAATGGGCAAATGTAAATTTTATGTATGTTTAATTGGTCATAAATATCATGTAAATAGATATTTTATGTCTAGGAGATTTCTTGACGGTTTTGCTTATTAAATTCGCAAATATGTGTAATATATTATTCGTAACTGGACATTGAAACTTACGCAGGAATTAATTTTGAATAAAAATTACTATTATATGAAACAATGAGGCTACCTATACAAGCGTGTCTAACTCTAACTAAGTAAAAAAAAAAATTAAACTTGTTCAGGTAAGTACCCATAATTAAAGAATCTGGAAAAAGTCACTTGTAGGACAAATTGCAACATAAAACTCAATTTCCTGCCTCTATTATGGGAAAACTAATAAAATCTATAATTGAAATATTTCTACTCTAGCCTACATGTTTCATGTATTTTAGTTTGGCTTCAAATACAATTTTTTGGAAGCAATAAATAATGTATTTTAAGCAAGTAACCGAACACCCTTCCTCATAACAGAAATATTTATAGCAGTTGTAGGTAAAATATTTTATTTCTGTTCACTTTATTATTATAGGGTTTCATCTCTGTGGAACTATTCATTATTAGATTAGTCTTTATAAATTAATTGTATAGAAAAAAAATAACAGTTACACTAATAAGTGAAATACCTATACCTGAACTGAAATTCCACAAAATATTAACAGTAACAGAGGAAACAGGAAAACCTACATGGTGCGGTGGTGCAATTTGAACACTCTTTAATAGAAAACATGTTTGTATCTCGCTCATAAATTGACATTGTGTCCAAATTGGACCACCCTGTACACATTCATTATTCAGAATTTCTATGTCAAAATCAAAAAAAAAAAAAAAAAATTAAATAAGCCCTGATAGTTATTGTAGTAGGTATATAATTTCTACTAATAAGGAGAACTAACCGTTAATAAAAATCACAAACAATATGTTTTCTCGGAAAAATCCCAATAAGTTATGGTTATTGAAGTATCGACATAAATAGGTGTTTACTTAATTGATGTGCACCTCCAGGGCACCTAGTCGGATAAAACAATACATTACAAGTTTACTCTATTATTATTTATTATTGGCCAAGACTTATTATGGACATTAACGATGCGAAGAAAAAAAAATTGCATATATTATAACCGTGATTCAGCCAAGTATTAATTTTCTTTTGATTTTGCAGTTATCCTGGCACGAGTGAAAAGTTTCCAAAAATTAGAAACCATGCAGTCGCTCGTTTATAAAGTGAGGATCAAAAAAGAATTTAAGATATCCGAAAAAGGACAGGTGGCTTTGAAATCCGGCAGGATACATACGCCAATCGACTCGGCTATGTGCGGAGTAAACATGAAAGTTGGGACGCTTTACGTAATATCAGGACGGATCGAGAGCTTAAGAGTAAGTGGATTTACTTTAAGAACATATTTATTCTTTTATACAACTCTAGGCCCATACGATGATGTGCGACATGATCAAAGAATGGAAAAATTTAACCAGGAGGCAAAGGAAAGGTCTTAGGCAGATGTATAAAAGGGGATGTTCCTACTGCACCGTCAAACGTTGTTTGGGTTGGGGTGCAGAGAAGTGCGACAAAGGATCAAAGTTGAAAGATTTCTGTAAATGGAACAGTAATTGTCAAACAAATGATGTAAGTTACAACTTAAATATATCGAAGTAGATACTCAATGGAAAGTTTTGTAAATAATTGCCAACAATTTTTGGTTCCATTTTTGAAGCCCCCTTCAGGGCTATTAAAACACTTTTTCCCTAATGAGAAAGGATAAAACTCTGTTTCTAGTCCAAAATATTTTCACCTTAGGAAGCTTTTCTGCTTTCATCAGTATCAGAGCAGCAAATAGGAATAGATGCTGTGTGAAGAATAAAGTCATGCACGAGCAAATCATTTTCGAAGAAAAGGCAGAATAAAGTTAGATATTTTGATATGGATAAGGGGTTTTCATTCGGGCTTATTGGCCGTCGTAAGTTGGAATTTCTTCCTGATGTTTCGCTAGCACGCGTGGTTAGCATCTTCAGAGGTGCTTCCATGTCCGATTCTGGTAGCAGACTGACGCGTTCCCGACCGTAAGTTGTATTTATGTGCGAGTGGCTGTGGTGGAGGCAGCATGTGGCTAATCTCATCTTTCTCTGTACTCAATGGGATCTTTCTTGCGTTTTTGAGGATCGGGTTACAGATTTGGGAGGCGCCTTTCGCGAACACTTACAACAAATGTAAATGATTACAAGGGCTGCTATTAGTACTATGATGAAGGAGGTGAACCATTGACTGTGTCTTGATACGAATAGTTCTTGGATTAGTTTATCCAGTTCATCGGAAAATTGGTTTAGTCTATGCTGTCAGGTTTAGATCATCGATGTTGATTTTAGATAGTTTGAGAGGTTTCAACTCTGGCAGATGAAGATCCACCGGCAGGTGTTTGCAGCAATCATAGGGAATTTCCACTGGATGGCTTTTATAGGTGATGTTCCTGTATTTTTCTGTTAGATTCCTAGTATGAATTCTGGAGTTTCCTACAAAGGCATTGCAGGTTGGTTGGAGCTTGAGCACTATGTTGGTGTTGATTGTTTTTGTCCCACTGTTTTTGCTATCACATCTGATTATTCCAACTGTGTTGTTAATTGGAGTTAGAAAAAATTGAGGGATGACGACTGAAATCAGCCCGATGAGTCTGGAAAAAAATAGACTAGTCATAGAACGACTTTATTCTATCAAAGTTAAATTTCGAAAATTGATTTGTTTTGAGGTTTTTCACTTTCGCTGAGTTTCTATAAACTTCAATTATTCCAAAAGATCCGTTAAAAAGATTTTGAGCTTTGTCTTTTATTTGAGTTTCTTTGGCATACCCCTTGTCACCTGCTTTATATTCTGGAGGATTTTGTGAGACCGTCTTGTCGAACCTTACTTTCGACTTTTCTTTCTGGATATCGGTTCTGGCTCGCGCCATTCTATAATAATATTCTATTCTGTTGTTGAGGTCTCGTATGTATTTGGAGATTAGCTGTTTTTGATTATAGAGTCTTAGGGTGTCCTAACTTTGGTATTATTATAACAGATAACTGCTTACGGGAGAATGTTGAATGGGTGTTCATCTGGATGTTTCGCTTTATGAACGTGGATCATCTCCGTTAAAGTTGCATGGAATCTTTCCAGCGATCTGTTGGATTGTGGGTGGCTTACGCTTGAAAATGTCAATTTTATGTCGTAGAGTTGACAGAGGTCAAGGCGTTGTTGAATTCATCTCCACAATCACAGTGCATTCTCAAAGGTGTACAGTAATGTTGGAAGAATACTAGTAGGGTGTTAACAATTAATTGTGGACGCCTTTTTGTCTGAGATTGGGTAGGCTTGAGTGAATTTGGTAAGTTCATCCCTAACTGTTAGGGCGTAGTGACGAACTGGAAATTCAAAAAGGTCAATGTTTATCCTTTCAAATGGAGTTTTGGGAGTCTCAGTGATAACGAGAGAAGAACTAAGATTTTTCTTACAGATTTTGACTTTTTGGCAGATTTCACAGGCTCTGATGAATTTCTCAACATCTTTGGTTAAACCTTGCCAGGAGTATTTGTCTTTAATCCTTCTAACGGTTTCATTGATTCCACGATGTAAATTTGTTTTTCCAGTATGATATTGGTCTAGGATAATTGGGATTTGGTCTTGATCTGGGGATTTGATGCTATTTTGGCATATCTTAAGCTTAATGTCTTCTTCGGCAAATATAAAGGAAAATATTTCAAGAATAGGTAATTCCAGATTGTTTTCTATGCAAAAGGTTTTTTCAGGGTCAAATTCGAAAAGCGAGTAAAAGAGAGTAGGGACTATTTTCTCATTTCTGCAAGGAATGGGAATTATGAAGTATTTGCGTGCCTTCACAGATTTGCTGGATGAAATGTTAACCTGATTAGGTTGAAAATTTTCCTCGTATAGATCATCTATAATTTTGTAATGTAAGTGTGTTAGTTTGGTTTGCCAAAAGAATGTTAAAATATTTTTGTGAGACTTGTCCAGAAGTTGTAGGTTGGAAATCTCTATCTTTGAGTGGTCAATAATTGATCTGGTTTTGTAAAGATTTACGAAGGAGTTGTATTCTTCCTCAATTAGGGTTGTTTAATCATTGTTTTTAATTTCGACGATTGGAATTTCTTGTTGTTGTTGACTTGTAGAGGGGCGGTTGTTTAACTGCCCATACAATGGCCAGTAATTCTCTCTCTATGGTAGAGTATTTAGTTTCGGCATTGCACAGCGTTCGAGAGGCATAGGCTATAGGGAGATCTTTTCCTATAGGGCCTTGTGACAAAACTGCACCGATGGCAAAAGCGCTTGCGTCGGTGGTTAATAGAAATGTCTCTTCAAAATTGGGATGGATCACAATGGGGTCCGAAACTAATGCGTTTTTCAATTCAGTGAAGGCGGATATGCATTCTGGGTTGAAGTGAAATGGAACATCTTTCTGGAGGAGCTTTGTCAAGGGCTTTGATGTTTTAGCAAAATTGGGGATAAATCGACGATAATATCCTGCTAATCTTAGAAAAGATTTAATGTCTTTTGGATTTTTGAGTGTGGGAAAGTTTCGAATACAACTAATTTTTGCAGGGTTCGGATTTACACCGTCTTGAGTGTGTCAGGTAAGCTACTTTTTTTGGAAGAAACTCATATTTGTCCGGCTGGATTTTTAGGTTAGCTTTAGCGTTTAAATACTTCGGTAAGCCTTGAAATATGTTCGTGGATTGTAGGAGAGTAAACGATAATATCGTCCATGTAGACTAAGCATCTTTCGTTTTGAATGCCGAGGAGAATATTGTCCATGAATCTTTGGAATGTGGACGGGGCATTTTTCATTCCAAAGGGCATACGAACGAATTCGTAATGGCCATTTTCTACGGAAAAAGCGGTTTTCGAAACATCCTTTGGGTCTACTTCTATTTGGTGAAAACCTGAGGCTAGGTCAAGGGTGGTAAAAATATTGACATTATCCCAATTAATCCAAAAGATCGGAAATATTATGCAGTGGGTATTTGTCGTCTACAGTCAGTTCGTTGACTTTACGGTAGTCGATTACGACGTGCCATTTGGGTTTGCCAGAAGCATCAAGTTTCTTAGGAACGACCCAGACGGGAGAAGACCACGGAGATACAGAATGGCGAATTATGCCTTGGTCTAGCATTTTGGTAACTTGGGATTTGACTTCTTCTTTGTGGATTTGGGGGTACCTGTAAGATTTGGTATACACAGGCTTTGCATTATTGGTGTCAATAGGATGCTTTATCTCACTAGTAAATGTGAGCGTGTCACCTTCCAGGTAGAAAATGTCGGAAAAGTTCAGGCATAAGTTGGTAATTAGTTCTTTTTCTTCGTCGTTTAAATGTTCTGTACGAAGTTCATTTTGTATGGACATTTGCCTATCATAAGTATCGTCATATTCGAGGTTAGAGTTGTTAAAACTAAGAATGGTTTTTTAAGTTTCATTTTCTGAGACAAATGGTTCGATAGACAAGTTCGAAAACTCCACGGTTTTGTCCATGGCGTTAATATTTACAATTGAAGTTAAAAATTCACCTTGTTCGTTAACTTTTACTAAAGCATTAGGTAATTTTACTTTTTTTTTTCTTGAGAAAAGAGTAAAGCATCTGTGTTGGATAGATTACACTTGCGTTCAAAGATCTTTTCACTTCTAGCTTCTATAGATATTTTGTTGAGAATTGTTTGAGTATTGTTTGGTTTTGTATTATTAGGGTAGTCATCTTCAGTAACTTTATGAAGAGGGATAGTTTTGAAATTAGTTACAAGTTCTTTAGCTTTCAAATCTATCACACATTGATAATGTTCTAGGAAATCGAACCCTAAAATTCCATCTAAATCAATATTCAAGTTGTAAATATACACTTTGTGAGGATCTTGGAGGGTGAACGGTACAAGTGTTGATTCACGGATCTGGAGTTTCTGATCGGTGATACCTTGAATGGTTACGTTTCCTTCGGAACGATAGGGGAATTTATGGAGAGTATTTTCTTCAAAAATTGAAATGCCTGCACCTGTATCAATGAGTAATCTGAATTTATTGGAAGCATCATTAATGTAGTAAAGTGGGTTTAAAGAAATGCTTGTTCCGGAAAATTGAGGTTCGGATTCATGTTGTCTAGATTCAGAAGTTGTATTTGAGTCTCGATATTCGAAATGTGATCTTGAGGGAAATTCTCTGGCGGATGGTGATAGGTAAACGGTACCAGAAAATCCTGATAATTTTCAGCGTTCGGATCAGTAGTGAACTGTTCAGCATATACGTTTTCTTCATAACTAGCATCTTGTTCATAATGAGGGCTTTCAGCGTATTCAAATTCGTCGGCATATGTTTCAGTGGAGGAATCATTTAAAAAATAAGTTTTTTGCTGGTTAGGGTGAACATGGGGGTTTCTTTGAGGGGTAGTTGAAGTGTATCTTGGTACGAATTGTTTCGAAGTAGATGCATTTTGGGTTCTATTTTGCGGAACATTGGTTGTTGGTTGTTGGTTTGCGGTGCCTGAGTAGTTAGCTGTTGTCGTTTTTTTGGAAATTTTGATTTGGGTATTGAGTGAAGTTTGAACGACTGGAAGCTTGTTGTCTACATTGATTGGCTGTGCGGCCAATTTTTCAAGTCTTGGAGTGGGCTTTCAGCTCTGATATTCTGGCCAAGGCGAGGTTCTAGGCCTGTAAGAAGAGTGTTCAGGGCCATAGATTCCACAAGGGAGGACTGTGCTTCTTTTTGATATACTGTTTTAAGGTGTGGTGACTTTTGGATAGAAGAATGCATTTTTGCATTCAGTACTTGGATTCTGTTGTAGAAAGTAAGTGGGACTCGCCAGGTAGTTTTTTGGATCGTTGTAGGTTATGGATAAGAGCTGAGAGGTCTCTAGAATCTCCAAAATGTAAATTCAGGTTGTTTGATTTCCAAATAGGAATTGGGGTTCCGAGAACTTATCAGTTGACCTGCTCTACCTCTGAGCTCATTTTTAATATGAATAACAAGTAAAACTTTCTGCTGCGTGGTTCAGGAAGAAATTCCAACTAACGACGGCCATTAAGCCCGAATGACAACCCCTTATCAATAAACCTGGGCCACGAAAGCCTCCCAAACTTTATTTTTATATCGTTGAAAACCAAATAGAGAGAGTCTCTGCTTCAAATGTTCATGGTTCATCTGGTTGTTTCAAACGGAATGATTCCAATGTTCTGGAGAAAATTTCGAGCAACTTTATTAACTTAACTAATTACAATTCCTACAGTTCCTTCTGTATTCATTACTTATATATTTTTTTAATTTTAGGGCATTTGTCTCCGTCAAGCCAACGGCTCCTGCAATTGGAACAAAAACAGACAATTAAACAATTGCCTAAAGAATTCAACACTTTCGCATAATCGGCTTCATTGGATGAATTACGATTTTTAATTTTAGGCGTTAACATTAAACATACATAAATAGGTATCAGTATTATAAAATGCCAAAACATTGAATTTTTCAAAAAACTTTATAAATTAAACAATAAATAATAATATTGTATAACTTAAACCGCAAATTTTAATTGAAACGTTGCCAATAAATTATTTAACATATTCCAAAATCCACTGTGTCCAATATTGATATTTATTTTACGGAATATTTTTGTATGCATTTGTATTGTTGAATAATTATTAAAAACTAATTTATTAATAAAAATTTGTGTTATTAAAATTATTATTTTGTCGATTATTCGAATGTCCCACCGCTGCGCCAAAATAGAAAATCTGGGCTCACCTGTTACAACTAACCTACTAATCTATTTACCCGATAAATCGATCTACCTTAGAGCGACCTCATTTGTGATGTAATTATAGGTTTGTTTACTGTTTTTTTTAGAGAATTTTATATGCTGGATTAGGTATTTAACTTTAATGTTTTTGTTGCTGTTGTAACAAGAAAAAGTTGGTAGGTACAAAACGCTAAAGTATGTAATTAGTCTTCTGTGATGTAACTGCTTTCTTCAACATCTCAAACTATTGGATTGGATAGCTCTACGAAATTGAGAGATGTAATCCCAAATAGCAAATACCTATCCATGAAAATAATTAGTAAAATTTAAATGCAATTCTATTTCGATGTGAAAAAATGTCTTATATTTCGCAGCTATGAGCTGTAGTCAGCAAGTTTCTTTGCAAAAGAATTGTTAAAATTACGAGCAATCTTCATAAGTAGCTTTGTCCTAGTTTCATTCCATCTTCTCCAAATGGTTAAGATAAAGTCAGCAATTCAACTATGCGGGTAGCTTGATGGCAGGTGAAAGCAATTTCCCAAGAAAAATAAATCAAGCCAACCAGATATAAATCCCCTATAAAACGTAATAAAACGTTCAAGTCGGCAACAGCGTAAAACAATAATTATTTTGTGCACGCACAGCATTCGAGGCAGCTGTGGCCGACACAGCTACACAGCCTAGAGTCAGTGCGGTATCGGCCGTAGCTGGGTCAGCACTCAGGTGCATCCCAGTGGAAGCTGGGCGCTGGGCGATCGTCGAGCAACGTTGCCGGTGCGGATCGATGTTACCGGATGAATGGGCCAACCGGGAGCCTGCGGCGACGAGGGGGGGCTCGATCCTGAGCTCTGGCAACATATCCGCGAGTGTCCTTGTCCATGCGACCATATGGGTTATGGAAATTTTTTAGATTATCAGGTACCCAACCAGAATGTCCTCTAGATGTACCTATATGTTTGAGTTTTTCGGAAATTGGCAAAACTTATATTGGAATGGCGCGCTAAACTTAGTTATACTTAGTGGTAGAAGCACGCAATGTGAAGTTTTTTTCCAGAATCAAGGACAAATCCTGGATTTTGCCGCTTCGCGTTGGTGTAACTTTACCAATATTCCAATAAGGACAGTAATAAAACTAATGCGTTACAAATAGGAATACTATCAATACAACTTGATTGAACTTAGATAGCGAGATGCGGTTTTGCGCTGGGGAACTTTGGAGTTTTTAAATTTTTTTGTAACAGTGTTGCCAATCTTCGATTTTTCTTAGAGTTTTCTTTCTACCATAGTTATCTTAAATGTAATAGATATTATGTATATTCTGTCACCTTTCTTATTTTGTAAGATTTGTTGTGGAATATGTTCAATATCGCTAAATTGTAAGGGATATTAGTAGGTATACCATCTTTTTTTGGAATATTATCATGGAAAAGTAGGGGTACTCAAGTCTGGAGAATAAGGTGTCCCTACCAAACCAATCCAAAATTAGAAATCAATCAATTTCCTCTCATGCAACTCGGTATTGTCCAAGTTAAGGCTCTGCATACACGAATCACCTTTTCCATTGAAAAAAGGACGGAATTATGTCCTTACGGTTTTAGGGCACTTATGTTATGAGTTGAAAATATGAAAAAATTTGCTTCAAAATGAGTTTTTGTTTTTTTTTTCTGAAGATTTTCAATAGGGTTCCACATTCATCTTTTGACAGGTGATTGAGACTTTCTCTATCAACATTTTGGACATTTTTTCTCTAAAAATTGATACGTAGAGGACTACAAATCCTGGAAATTTCAGCTCATTTGGACTTATAGTTCCAGAAATAAAACCTTGTTAAGCAATTTGGGGTGATTTATTATTTTTTCTATTTTTCTGAATGCCTTTTTTCATAGAATCTGGCTCCAAATCTCAGAATAATTTAGTGTATAGAGTTTGAGGGGTCCCAAAGGACCATTAGGACACAAAATCTCAACAAAAAACTTTTGAAATTTCATCGTTTTAGTACTACTTGGGTAGCTACCTTATGATTTAGATTTTGGAAAACTTTGAAAGGTCATAACTTTTTTCTATTATAGATTGACAGCTGAAATTTTCAGCGATTCCTAATCCAGTAGAGGACTACAATCCCTGAAAATTTCAGCTCATTTGGACTTATAGTTCCAGAAATAAAATCGTATTAAGCAATTTGGGGTGCTTTATCAATTTTTAAATTTTTCTGAGTGCCTTTTTTCATAGAATCTGGCTCCAAATTACAGAATAATTTAGTGTATGGAGTTTGGGTGTCTTAAAGGACCATCAAGATACAAAATCTCTCTCTCTCTCTGGGAAAACTTTGAAAGTTCATTACCTTTTTTCTATTATAGATAGAAAGCTGAAATTTTCAGCGATTCTTAATCCAGTAGAGGACTACAATCCCTGAAAATTTCAGCTCATTTGGACTTATAGTTCCAAAAATAAAATCGTGTTAAGCAATTTGGGGTGATTTATCAATTTCTAGATTTTTCTGAGTGCCTTTTTTTATAGGATCGGGCTCCAAATCTCAGAATAATTTAGTGTATGGAGTTTGGGGGTTTCAAAGGCCCATTAAGACATAAAATCTCAACAAAAAAAAATTTGGAATTTCATCTCTTCAGTATCTACCTTATGATTTAGATTTTAGAAAATTTTGAAAGGTCATTACTTTTTTTCTATTATAGATAAAAAGCTGAAATTTTCAGCGATTCTTAATCCAGTAGAGGACTACAATCCCTGAAAATTTCAGCTCATTTGGACTTATAGTTCCAGAAATAAAATCGTGTCAAGCAATTTGGGGTGATTTATCAATTTCTAAATTTTTTTGAGTGCCTTTTTTCATAGAATCTGTCTCCAGATTTCACAATAATTTAGTTTATGGAGTTTGGGGGTCCTGAAGGATCCTTAGGACACAAAATCTCAACAACAAAGTTTTTGAAATTTCATCTCTTTAGTACTGGGGTAGCTACCTTATGATTTAGATTTTAGAAAACTTTGAAAGTTCATTCCTTTTTTTCTATTATAAATAGAAAGCTGAAATTTTCAGCGATTCTTAATCCACTAGAGGACTACAATCTCTGAAAATTTCAGCTCATTCGAAGTTATAGTTCCAAAAATACAATCGTGTTAAGCAATTTGGGGTAATTTATCAATTTCTAGATTTTTCTGAGTGCCTTTTTTTATAGAATCGGGCTCCAAATCTCAGAATAATTTAGTATATGGAGTTTGGGGGTTCCAAAGGCCCATTAAGACACCAAATCTCAACAAAAAAAAATGAAATTTCATCTTCTTAGTACTTGGGTAGCTACCTTATGATTCAGATTTTAGAAAACTTTGAAAGTTCATTACTTTTTTTCTATTTTAGATAGAAAGCTGAAATTTTCAGCGATTCTTAATCCAGTAGAGGACTACAATCCCTGAAAATTTCAGCTCATTTGGACTTATAGTTCCAAAAATAAAATCGTGTTAAGCAATTTGGGTTGATTCATCAATTTTTAAATTTTTTTGAGTGCCTCTTTTAGTAGAATCCGGCTCCAAATCTCAGAATAATGTAGGGTATGGAGCTTAGGGGTCCCAAAGGACCAATAAGACACAAAATCTTAACAACATAAATTTTGAAATTTCATCGTTTTAGTAGGTAGGTACTGCGGTAAGCTACCTTATGATTTAGATTTTGGAAAACTTTGAAACGTCATTACTTTTTTTCTATTAAAGATAAAAAGCTGAAATTTTCAGCGATTCTTATTCCAGTAGAGGACTACAAGCCCTGAAAATTTCAGCCCATTTGGACTTATAGTTCTAGAAATAAAATCGTGTTAGGCAATTTGGGGTGATTTATAATTTTTTCAATTTTTCTAAATTCCTTTTTTTCATAGAATCCGGCTCCAAATCTCAGAATAATTGGGTGTATGGAGTTTGGGGGTCCCGAACTACCATTCAGACACAAAATCTCAACAAAAAAAAATTTGAAATTTCATCGGTCTGATAGTTATGATCCAACTTAGTCACACCCTCACTAGTTATTTCGTATTTCGGTGTTCATCCAACTTCTCCCCACTAGACTTCCTGGAATCATCTTTCTACCTCAAAGTTTCCATTCTATTACTTCGCAGGTTCTATTTGAATTCTCCATTTTGCATTCAAAATTCTGGTTTGTATTCATGATAAGTTCTGGATCTTGTTCACTTATTATCACAAGTGTGTCTTAAATCGTTTATCTTAATTGTGTAAGACTATGATACACATGTTGTCGAGGTCATTCTGATTCTTCTGTTGATACTGTTCTGTGATTTTTTGTCCCAGATCAACTTTCCGGATTTCTGTTCTATTAAGGGTAATTTATTGGTGGTTTTCTGGACATTGTATTCTTTGAATAATTTCTCTGTTTCATATTATTTATTGACAGACCTGGTATGAACAATACATCGTCCGCATATCTGGGGTTTTCCAGTTTTTGTCCTATATTGATTTCATAATTTTTCCAAGTTGGTGATTTGAAGCTATAATCGCGTAGTGCCATTGTGAACAATTATTAGCAGGTTCTCTATGAGCAGATGTATCTTATTTTACAGTTTAACAAAAAATTTAAGATTTCCCACATTTCTACTGAGTCAATTGTTATAATCAATAAATGCCAGATAGAAATCTTTGTTATCTATAATTTCATTTCATTTAATTTCTTTATTCATGTTAATACATTCATACAATGCTTACACACGTCAAACAAGTTACAATACAGGATAAAATACATATTAAAAGTTTTCCTTAAGAATTATAATAACTATAAATCCAGAATTACTGGCATTTTGTTCACTAATTACAATCTACAACACTAAAATCAAAAGACAAAAACTCATTAAAATTGTAAAACACATTTTCAGTTAAAATTTTCTTCAGAATTTTTTTATACAAGTAATAGGGCAATTCCTTTATTTTACGTGGTAAGACATTGAAAAATTTGATTGCCCAAAAGCCTGGGACGTCCTGACACCCTTTCAGACGCCAATATAGTGACACTATGCCATCTTTATTTCTGTTATTGTAATGGTGAATATCAGAATGTTTTTGAAGCTTGCTTTGTGACTTTATAAAGAGTTTTCCAATATATATAAGGATGCGAGTGTTAATATCCCGAGAGATGAGAAGGCCTCCCTGCAATCATCCCTATACTTCAGGCCAGCCATATGGTTCTAAAAGCTTTCTTCTGTAATGAACCCCGGAGGAGTGTCCCCATGCCAGAACTGCATAGTTCAAATGTGGCTGAAAAACACCAAAGTAGGCCATTCTTAGAACATATGGTAAAACACAGGTTGAGAGGTTTCTGACCATGTAAAGGGCGCCTGCCAACTTTTTGGCCACACGGGCTGTGTGCTAACCTCATTGTAGCTTTTGGTGTAAAGTTACCCAAGTTGTCTTATCCTTATCCAGCAGAAGCCTGTTTAATCCAAACCACAATCCAGCCCGATCCTGCGCGACCACAGATCTTGCATGCGCACCCTCCAGGCTGTCGTCAGCCAGGGAGATCGATGTATCATCGGCAGAAAGAGTACACACAGCAGTGGTAGTACTTGCTGGTAGGTCATTAGGCCGACATACACACATGTTATTTCGCTCGGTTTATCGTGGCGTGTTGGGATGTAGCGGTTTCCATGCGCGAAAAAACGGCGTGGCAAAAAAAGCGTCATGTTCCATACACTTGGCAGAGTATTCAGATGATTTAGTACGTGATTACGCGCGGCATATCAGTTTGAAAGGAAAAATCGTATGTGTATGGGTAAAAAGTGTCATTTATCGTGTCGTTTGGCAGTGCATGTTCTCATGTACTAATTTTCAACGTGATAGATCGATATGCGGCGTTTATATCTTCGAACCTTAGACAAGATTTTCCTTGTCCAAGCTTCGAACTAACCTTAAAACCGTCACGTGGAATATCGTGTGGACACGGGTTCTGTACTATCATGTACTACTGACGCCATATTCCAGATGAAAGCACGTCTGAAATCCCTTCCTATTCTATCATTGCGTGCAGCCCTCTTCACTCAGGCACATGATTTTTCACAGGTTTTTGTAGATGAGACGATAAACCGCGCGAAATAGCGTGTGTGTATGCCGGTCTATTGACATAAATTAGAAACAAGATGGGACCCAAGATAGACCCTTGTGGGACCCCTATGTTAACCTTTCTTTCTGACGACGTCACACCATCATATGTCACACTTTGACACCTGTCGCTGAGATAAGTTCTCCAAAGTTGGGCACTAATGTTGTCAAAATGGTACGATTTGAGTTTATCTAGCAAGATATTATGGTCAACACAGTCAAAGGCTTTACTCAGATCACAAAAAACAACCGCGCTGTATTGGTTATTATGGAAAGCCTCTATAATTTGCGATGTTAGATCTAGTAATGCCATGACCGTGCTCTTACCCTGTCGGAAACCGAACAGCTGCCCAGAAAAGAGTCCCCTGCTCTCGAAAAAAATCACCAGCCGTAGAGCCATACACTTTTCAAAAATCTTGAATGATGGAAAGTAGAGATATGGGCCTGTAGTTTCCAGGCGAATCTGAGTTTCGTGTTTAAAGATAGGGATAACCACCGCTCTCTTTAAGATTCTTGGGAACATACAATTTTTTATAAAAAGATTTATTAGTTTGGTAAGGGGTGGGACAATGATGTTTTTTATGGACTTTATTAGTTTTGTATTGAATCCAAATAAATCCCGGCTTTTTTTGTCTTTTAAGCTATTTATGACGTCACGTACTTTATTAAATGACAGTTCAGAGAAGGAGAAAGCCTCTGGCAGTGACAAAGCTGAGGGCAAGTATGTTTTGTAATTAGTGTTATCTACATTTGGTAGGTCCTTGATTATGTTCTCCGCAATAGTAGAGAAAAAGTCGTTGAAGTTATCGGGAGACATGTTATTTTTTACAGAGTTGTTATTTGTTTTATTTTTTTGCTCATTGATTATATCCCACAATGTTTTTGATGGGTTGTTGGAATGTTTTATTAGATTATCATTAGCACGGATTTTTGCTTGCTTAATCTTAACTTTGTACAAGGATCGATATTTTTTGTATTGGTCTGTATTTACTAGACCGTGGTTTCTATCCATCTCCCTCAAGAGCCCTAGTGTTTCGCGCATTTTCCTCAATTCCCCGTCAAACCAAGAAATCCTATTACCCTGATCTGATCTGACCAAATATGTTCTCTCAGGAAAGCAGTCAAGAAATGCTGTCTCTAAAATTTGCATAAATATGTTGAATTTCTCTTCCACCCTTACATTCCAACACATTATAAAATAAAAATTGACCCCTTTGTGTTAGTGGTCTGAATACTTTCTTAATTTGCGAGAACCCAAAATAAATTTCTGATGAGATTTGAACTATTTGCCCCCTGTGATCAGATATGCCCACATCAACCACCTGTACATAACTTAACCCCAGGCCCGAACCAACAAACACATTATCAAGACAAAACTCCTTCCGAGTAGGCTCATAAAGTGTCTGCACCAGCCTAAAGTTGTTTTTCTCAATGGATATCCTAAAGACTTATGGCTCAAAGTATTGAAACAACGTAATTTATTATTTATCTCCAGCACAATATACTCTACTCTCTATAAATGATTGTGTCTATTATAGCACCCTTTAAACGATTCTGACAAAAGCCATACAATTTTCCAGGTTTGTGTGACATAACTTTTTGTCTCAGCAGACATAAAGCAAATTGATAAAGCGCCAGTGAAAACGAGCCTACTGTTATTTAAATGCACAAAGCTTTATAAATTCAGCGAAATGCTATAATAAATTTTCATTGTTTAATACTTTTTAAATTCCAACGGAACGATGTCCCAATTCATCCTAATATCGGTCATATTCGTTTGTTCAGAAGCATCACGCTCCATTAGTTATTGGCAAACAGGGGATAATAAATTTATAATCCATAGCCCCGCTAAACGTTGAATTGCACCTTTATGGATTTTAATTTTTAGGATTTTATTTTTTTTTCAGCAAATCCCTCCATGTCCTCCACGCTACCCCCCGGCCCCACTCTACGCCAGAGACGAGACATCGTTCGACTCCGTGCTGCCGCAACACTATCAACCACCACGTTTCGGCAGAACAGATCGTCGTCATCAGTATCATGACGTCATAGTACGCGACTACCATCCGCACCATCGTGCACCACGTGACCTTTATTATCCTTCCTACGAGTACGATTCGTGTTCGTGTAGTAGCGGAAGTGACACCAACAGGTAACATATTCGATCTACAAAATCTTCAAACAAATCAGTTTAATTGTTTTATAATGTGTGTATTATACGGTTCAAGATTATGTCATTTGTAATGCCTAAAATATACGTTATACATTTTAAACATGAACCATAATAAAGTCCTTTTATTTCCAGAAATAACCTCCGTGGTCCATGGTGCATTTGCTTGGTGGTATGTGTCGTCATCGCAACCCTCACTGCCGGTTTAGGACTGCCCTTAGCTTTAGGACCTCACGACGTAGGACTTTTGTCACCAGAAGAACGTTTAGAACTAGTAATTATACATTTTAGATATTTGTTTTATAATCTAGTCTCCAGCCTTCAAATTTTACGAGATTGAAGTTTCTTTTTGCTCATTATTAAGTCACTAGAGGCTGAGAACTACCTACCTACTTTCAATTTTAAGTTTTGAAAAACTTAGGTGTGCAAATCTTTATGAATCTGGATGTTCTAGGTTAGGAAATTATTAAAAGACACTCCTCTGATCGACGGGCACAACGATTTGCCCTGGAATCTGCGCAAATTTTTAGCAAATCAACTCAACGGTTTGGACTTGAACAAGATTACTTCGGAAGAACCGTGGACGTCGAGTAGATGGTCACATACAGACCTTCCTAGGTAATCAATTCCTTAATTATTCCACACATAAATTCAATAAAACAACAAAATCTCTTCCAGATTAATCCAAGGAGGTGTTGGTGCTCAATTTTGGTCAGCATACGTACCTTGTAAGTCACAGCACAAGGACGCTGTCCAAATAACTCTAGAACAAATCGATGCAATCAGACGTTTGGTCCACCACGAACACCAGCATTTAGAAATGGCCAAAAACGTACAAGATATTCGTAGTGTTCACAAGCAAGGCAAAATTGCCTCGCTTATTGGCGTGGAAGGTGAACTTTACTGTTAAAATAAAGGTTTAATATTAACGAGGATTATTTGTTTAGGTGGCCACGCTTTAGGTAATAGTCTAGCAGTACTGCGAATGTTTTATAACTTGGGAGCAAGGTACTTAACAATAACTCATTCTTGTGATACCGCTTGGGCTACCGGTCAAGATACTACGACCAGGCAAGGACTCAGCGATTTTGGTGAAATAGTGGTCAAGGAAATGAACAGATTAGGAATGATTGGTTAGTACTAATTTTAAAAATTTATATTTTGCGCCAAATATTGATTAAAAAATCCATTTGCACTACCACAAAAGAATCTCATTAACGCGGTCGCTAGCAGAGTGAATGGGTCTTGAGAGGAGAGTCTTTTTTGAAGTGACTATGAAGATTTTAATAATACACAAAGTGCCTCCCCTTTTTAGGAGCTATTTATACAACAGCGAGTTTGTGGACATACGAGATTGCCTTGAATTTTCCATTTTTTAATTAAAATTTGACATGGAAGTAATTACGATAATATGTGAGAATGCGTACTTGGTTTTTTGGGAATGAAGAAGATGATGTAAGGCTTGCGTATATTATAAAGCCACAGTAATGAAACCTCAACATTTATTTTTGTCAAGAGCATAATTTGAACTCGTTTCTATGCTTCGCTGGATTCTCACAAACTAACCCAACTTTCTCTGCATTTTCTTGGTTGGAAATGAAAACTTTCCAGGTGGTTGTTTCCTCCTCATCCCAAACTCCAGAGAATTTCCGCAAAGATTGGTCATAATATAGCATTTCAAACAAAAAAGGCCACAAACAATTTCCCTGTAACTGATTTTCCTCAATCCAAAGCGAGAGAAATTGAGAGCTAACAATTTGAGCACTTTTCTGCTGAAGTCTGTAAACAATATGTGCAAGAAAAGTCTTTTTATATGTTCAGTTTCTATATACAAATGTACAAATGTTAATTTCACAAGTGTGAAAACCAAATTTCTGCATTGAACGTTAGAAAACACTTCAATTTATAGTGCATTTCAAGCGAATCACTAATCAGTATCCATTGTTCGACTGTTAGAGAAATTGTAACGGTCTTACTTGCTTAGTCCGATAAATGCAGATAAATCCACAAGGCGATTATTCGTCCATTTATTACCACTATTCACACTGGCAGCTAGGGAATTTTCCACTGAGATGAAAAGAAAACACAAGGATATACAGGTGCGTTGGAGCCCGTCGAGAGTGAGAGAGATAGAGCCAAAAACAAGCGTCGGAGAGAATTTTGCTCGCCCGAGGTGACTTGCAACAATTAGGGGTTAATTACATGAATTGTAATCAATAATATAGACCATATCAGGCCTTGAGACACAGAGAGTAGTATTTTACTATAAATCGCGCGTACTAACAAGGGTTTTTGGGGGTTTTTCCTCTTGAGAGCATTCAGAAGGCGCGAGGGTGCGAATTCTTCGCTTATTCTAATAGTATCGAAGAATGTGCGTTGACTAGACTCTGCCAGGGGAGCAGATCGCAAAAATCTAGAAAACAATGTGGCGGCTGACCAATCACAGCGGGGAGACAGGTTCACTACCTTATAAGGTAATGAAGAAACCTGCAATTTTACCGGTTCAAAGGGTTGTTGTTGCCGGTTTTACAGGATAAATAGTCCAGCAATAGCATCTATTTTTAGAATATTATTTTTATAATAAATAATAGAGATTGAGATATATTAAATTAGAAATAATAAAAATTAAACCTGTTGTGGGTTATTTCCGCAACACATGGAAGATGGAAAAAATTTAATAATAAAAAAAAGGAAATATGTTGACGAATAGTGAGAATACCAAGGGGAAAAGGGAAAGAGAAATCCTTTCGAATTTTGCATAGAAACTTTCTTTATTTGATGAAATGTTTACTTCCTCTAAATGTCTGGGTGTGTTTTTATGAAGGCTCATAGTTGATCGGACTTCTCAATAAAATTCATGAAATTCTCGTACTGCCTCAGATTTCCACAAACTTGCTGCTTGAAACTTCTCATTTTACTTAATAGTGCTCATCAGATAATTCACCTATGGCCCTCGCCTCTTGGAAATTATGTAACTTACAAAGAATTACCTACTTATGATAGTAAACTGAGAATAAGATCCGTTAAAAACTCCGTCAGTTAAAAATTTCACCTTTCAGTCGATCTCTCCCACTCTTCAGTATACACCGCTATGTCAGCGATCAACGTTTCGACCGCCCCGGTCATCTTCAGCCACTCAGCCTCCTACACTTTGTGCAATTCATCCAGGAACGTTCCAGACGACGTCATCAAGCTGGTTGCCAACAAGGGAGGCATTGTAATGGTAAACTTCTATGCCTACCATGTCGCTTGTAGCGTCAATGCTTCAATGATGGACGTTATACGACACATAAATCATATAAGGAAAGTGGCTGGAATCGAACATGTTGGTAAGTGAATTGTGAATCATAAGGCCTATTCGGGTTTGGAAAAAGTACGGTTCTAGAACGGTCCAGAAGAATCGCACAGTTTATTATTGAAATTTGTGATAGTCGAGTCGTTGTTATTTTGTTGATCAATAAACTGGACGATTGTTTTGAACCGTTCTAGAACCGTCCTTTTTCCAAACCCGAATAGGCCTATAAACTTCATCCTCAACGATAAATATTTTCTAGGTATTGGTGCAGGTTATGATGGTATCAACGTCACGCCATCGGGTTTGGATGACGTATCACGTTACCCCTACCTTTTTGCGGAACTTTTAGCGGATCCTGATTGGTCGGAGCAAGACATTCGATTATTAGCAGGCCTGAATTTCCTCAGGGTTTTCCAAAAAGTCGAAGAAGTCAGAGACCAATTTGCTAAGCTCGAAATGCAACCGTTCGAAGAGCTGGGACCCAGAAAGGAAGTCGAGGAGTGTATTTCGAAGAATTCTTGACGAAAGCTTTGGAGTTTGATCTTGATGCTGGGTCTTATTGAAGTCGGTTCAAAGTGCCAATTTTTTCTTTTTTGCTTGAAAATTACTTCAAATTAGATCAGAGGTGTTTTATATCTTTTTTGTTATGTGATAGATATACATTTTATATAGACAGCCTTTACAAAACTTGATGGCAGAAAAAGTATACCTATAGATTTTTTTTTTAAATTAGAATGACAAATTTATATGTACCTATTCGTAGTGTGTTACGTGTTATTTTTTACCCTGTACTTTTTCAGATTCGGATAATAATTAATCATTAAATGAAATCAATTGTGTGACGTGACTGATCTCACACAGTTTTTTGATACAACAAAAGATACCTTTTTTGGATGTATTTGTACACCGAGTTGATGTTTTAAACACTTTTTTTTTAGGCTTTTTATAGGATGTTAAGAAGAAGGTGTTTTTATCGGAGAAATTATGATATATAGTTTTTTCAGATAGTATAATGATAGAAAGTATAATAAATGTTATAAAGAACAATATTAGGAATTTTTACTTTTGGGTATGCATTCCATGAACTAGTTTTTGAATGTCCTTGAAACGATTTTAGATCGATTGCCTTAAAGTTGCTATTGCACGGGTCGTTGAGTGTCTCAGATCTTCCAGGACAAAATCCTACTGGTATTGGGAAAACCAAGGAATTAAAGTTTTCCTTTTCGAACAGAACGTCATATTTTCGGGAACTGTTGGAAAAAAACGCAATTTGCCAGCCTGCAGTACATTTACAATAAGGCTCATGTTCAACTTTGATTTTCATTTAATTTTTATTTTTTATAGTTTTTTGAGCATTGGCTCATTTTCTGATGTAGATTCGAGAGGTAAACCGCAAAAGGAAATGTAGGTAATCAAGGGAAATTATAAGGAAATTAGAGGAAATCAACGGAAATCTTAAACTCCGGGGAAATCTTCAAGAAATCATGGACAGTCTTAAGGAAATCAGCCAATCTCAAGATCTAACGCATGCGCAGAATTCAAAATTCTTTATACTTTGAGGTTATGCTATCAGGGGAAGTCTTGGGCGACATGGGAAATAATACATGATTTTTCCCAAAACCGCAATCTGGTATACAAAACCTGACCTGCGGCTTACCCCTTGGGATAAGCCGACAAGTGAAACCTGGTGTAAAATAATTAGGGAAAGTCCGAGAAAATCTAAGGCAATCAGAGGAAATCATAAGGAAATTAGAGAAAATCATGAGAAAATGAAAGGAATCTTAAGGAACTTGGAAGAAATCTTAGGGAAATCTTAAGGAAATTAGTCAATCTCTAAATCTAATCTAAGGCATGCGCAGATTTCAAAAATCTTTATAGTTTGAGGTTATCAGGGGAATTCTTGAGCAATCTTACTGATAATCAGAAGAAATCATCCATGATTTTCCCTAAAAACGCAATCTGATGTAGAAAAACTGACCGCGATGAGGTTCACTTCTCGGGATGAACCGCAAGTAGGAAATCATCTATGATTTTTCTTGAAACCACAACCTGGTATACAAAAACTTGACCTGCGGTTCAAGTGAATCTTATTTACAAATTAGAAGAAATGTGAGGAAATCTAAGGCAATCAGGGGAAATTATAAAGAAATTAGAGGAAATCAGGGGAAATCTCTAGGAACTCAGGATAATTCTTAGGGTAATCATGGAAAATCTTAGGGAAATTAGTCAATTTCTAGATTTAACGCATGTGCAGCTTTCAATTTTTTTTCATTATGAGGTTACGTGATCAGGTGAACTCTTGAACAACCTTACTGGTAATCAGAAGAAATCAGGAGAAATCATGAGAAATCATCCATGATTTATCCTGAGTTCGTTAAGAATTTCCTAGATTTCCTCGTGATTTCCACTAATTTCTTTATGATTTTCCCTGATTGCCTTAGATTTCCTCAGATTTCTCCTAATTTGTACAGAAAATTTCACTTGATGCGGTTTATCCCAAAGGGTAAGCCGCAGGTCTGTTTCCGTATAATATCAGGTTGCAGTTTTAAGAAAAATCATGGATGATTTCCTACTTGCGGTTCATTCCGAGGGGTATACCTCATCAGGTCAGTTTTTCTACATCAGATTGCGTTTTTACGGAAAATCATGGATGATTTCCCCTGATTTCCCCTGATTTCCCCTGATTTCCTCTGATTACCAGTATTAAGATTGTCCAAGAGTTCCCCTCATAACTTCAAATTTTAAAGGTTTTTGGTTTTTGAATTCTACACATAGCTTAGATTTAAAGATTGACTACTTCATTAAGATTTTCGTAAGATATCTTCTAAGTTCCTTAAGATTTCCCTTATGAATTGAAAATCAAAGTTGAACGCGTGAGCCTTATTGTAAATTTACTGCACGCGGGCAAATTGTCTTTTTCCCTAACAATTTTCGAAAATATGACGCTCTGTTCGAAAACTCTTGAAAAACCTTACTGATATTCAGAAGAAATCAGGGGAAATTATGGGAAATCATCCATGATTTATCCTGAGTTCGTTAAGACTTCCCATGATTACCTCGTGATTTCCTCTAATTTCTTTATAATTTCCTTTGATTGCCTTAGATTTTCTCGGATTTCTCCTTATCTGTACAGAAGATTTCACTTGATGCAGTTTCGCAATAATTGGTCATAATAAAGCATTTCCGAAAAAATATTTGTGGGATTCTGAAATCTGAAAGAAGGCTACAAATAATTTCCCTGTAGCTGTCTTTTCAAAATATAAATGATTAATATTTCTGGTACCTGATTCTCAGATTTTCTTTGAACTTTGACTCGGATTTCTTCAATATTTTCCCATAGGTAGTTTTTTGGATTTCTTCAGACTTTCACAATGCTTCCATATACTTTCATACTTTGAACGTTCCTGGATTTCTACCAACTTCCTTACTTTTTCTGCACTGTAAAGTTCCCAGAAGGATTTGCCTCCATAAAGCTAAAATTCTTCCCAGGTGGGGGAAATTATAAAGAAATTAGAGGAAATCAAGGGAAATCTTAAAGAACTCAGGATAAATTTTGGGGAAATCATGGAAAATCTTCATGATTTATCCTGAGTTCGTTAACGTTTCCCTTGATTTCCTCGTGATTTCCTTTAATTTCTTTATGATTTCCCCTGATTGCCTTAGATTTCCTCAGATTTCTCCTAATTTGTACATTTGTGAATCCCACAGGGTAAACGCAGGTCAGTTTTTCTATCCCAGGTTGCGGTTTTAAAAAAATCATGGATGATTTTCTACTTGCGGTTTATCCCGAGTGGTATACCTCATCAGGTCAGTTTTTCTACATCAGATTGCGTTTTTTGGGAAAATCATGGATGATTTCCCCTGAGTTCTTCTGATGATGATGAATTGAAAATCAAAGTTGAACGTGAGCCTTATTGTAAATGTACTGCAGTACTGCAGGCTGGCAAATTACGTTTTTTCCCTAACAATTTTCGAAAATATGACGCTCTTTTCGAAAACTCTTGGTCAGCCTTACTGATAATCAGAAGAAATTAGGGAAAATTATGGGAAAACATCCATGATTTTCCCTAAAACCGCAATCTGATGTAAAAAAACTGACCTGCGGTTTATCCCGAGAGTGACATCTGGGTGTACAATAATTAGGGAAACTCCGAGGAAACCCAAGGCAATCAGGGAAAATCATAAGGAACTCAAACTGACAAACTACGTGCTTCATTCATATACAAATATTTTTTCAGTCGAAAACTCTGTGGAATCACGTAATAAATGCCCTTATTTTTCTGAATGAACGTCTGAATAATATGCTTTAAAGGACTGGTTCAAAATACTGGGAAATGGTTCCAGGAATTTTTATCTGTCTTCTTTTTTGTGCGATGAGCAGATAATTCCTTTGACATCTGTCCAGTCTCTGCTTCGTTACAATATCCATATTATAACGGGTCCACATAAATATAGTCGTCCTGCCAGAAATGCTTGTTTTTAAACTTCATTCTCTAGTTTTTTGGTCTCATGTTGCCGCCTTATGCTCTATAATGTTTCAACATTAAACATTACCTTAGAAATAAAGAGTGCAAGGAGCGTTTTTACATCCTCAGTAACTACGTTCTGCTAAACTTTGCTTCTGCTGATGTTTTTCACAATTATTGATAAAATAATAATCATGATTGAAATAAGGCAAGCAATCCAGACTGTATTCTTGATCGAATGGCGAGTGCTTTATATGTACTCTAACATCGAAATTGCTGTTCTTTTTCTGTAGAAATGTATGCTTTGAAATATAAAATCAATGAAGGAGTTATCGATTTCGGGATTAGGCTTCTGAGTGTATGAATTTCTGTTTAGACTCCACACTACAGATGGCAGCATTTCATTTACTTATATTTTTAAGAAATGTAGTGCATTTTTCCTAAAAGTAGAAGTAATATAATATAAGTACCTACTATGAGATTAACAAAACAAATAATCAAGGGTCAATCACGTGCAATCGAATAATTCAGAAATGTTACTTATTGCATCTAAATGTGGATATATCTACATTTTCGAGCCCTAGTTTTCAACAAGTTCGAGTTCCAGTGAACTTCATACAATCGCCAAAGTTAGAATTGAAACTAATTGATCGTTTCCATTGTATGAAAGGTCAAAGATCGATAATATTACAACACCTCGTGAACCGACCTTCTCTTTACGTGACAATAAAAATCGTGAGGCAACTTTCTTCAGAAGTATAATAAAATATAATTGCTGGGTTTCAGCTTTTAACTGCCCGCCCTCTCATTTCAAGAAGTTTTGATTTAATTTTGAAAACAATTCAAGTTTTAGCTTTTATACAGGGAAAGGATTTTTTAATATTAGAATAAAACAACAGTTTGAGGTAACTTTTAACATATCACTGAAAAGTTATTAACAATTTGAAACCAAACTCTCATGCACACACACACACACATATAAACAAGAATATATCCAGAAAAGTTCCATCCAAGAGAGTTTTTACACGTCCGCTTCCGGTTTGGAAGTCCAATCAGTTATTAAGGTTTACTTCATCAACGGCAGGAGCAGTTTCCTGCTGTTCCGGAATGAATGGAGTGATCAGCGGCTCTTGTAAGTTATCTGGGGGGGTCTAGGCAGAAAGAGAGCTGATGAACTCTTGTATAAAACCGTTCGGAGTGGTCTTCTCGGTTTTAACTTTTGATGATTTTATCCTCGAGAGCACGTACAAACCTACACGCAGCTAGAATTTATTTTGGGATAAATTTGATAGTAATTACAACTAGAGAATTGCGTTTTTTCTTTAACTCCCTATGCCTATTGAAGGTTTTCTAACAAATAAGAAGCCATAAGGTTGTTCTGTAAACTTTTTGATGGAGATACAAATCTTATGGAACTTTGATTTTTTTCCAAAATGACATTGACACACATTTTAGCTCATAACTTTTTTATTTCAATTTTAATCCGATCCTTATGTAATTAGGCTTGAATTACGGACAATTGAATCCTTTACAAATCTCTATTTGGTAGTTTTAGCACTGCTGCAATAGTCTTCAAGCTGTGTAGCTTCAAATTGAT